CTAGTCTGTAAATATCGTGACATGGACTTTTTTTAAGCTGGTTTTTGATGTAAATTTTTATTGAGATTTATAAATAGTCGCTTGCTTGCTTACTTGCTTTGCTTACTTGCTTGCTACTTTGTAAAATGAAAATGTCTATTGTGCACGAATTCTATACTTCATGCAATGAGAAAACTCCTCCGCCATCCATCCATCCATCCATCCATCCATGCCATTCATTCATTCATTCATCCACCTCATATTCCCACATTCCCACATTCCCCACCCCTAAATAGGCGATTCAAAAACCAAACTAATCCCATCATCCCCCGCGGTAACAATTCTATTCCCATCCCCCTGCACAAAACCCATGACCCCCACGCCATCCCCCCTATGTCCCTTCCACTCGCCCACCAATCCCGAATTTGCCATTCCCGTTCCACCCCTCGCGTCCCATCGTCGGACTACTCCATCCATCCCGCAACTGGTCAATAGCCATCCGCCAGATTGTGTGTTCTTTACAAATTCGACTTTCACTACTGCGTGCTCCTCGTGCGCTTCTTTGATATGTCGACGCACTGCGAATCGATGCGCGGAGTCGAAGAGGGCAATGCTTCCATCCACGCTTGCGGCAGCCATGAGTGTTAGAGGGGGTTGCGCAAATGCAATCGATTCGATTCCATCACCCTGGGCTTGCAAATCCGCGAGAATCTGTCCGGATTGACCTGGACTTGCGCCCGCACCCGAAGCATCAGGTAAACGAGGTAATCCCACGATTTTAATCGAGCCACCTGCTCCTCCCGCCGCGACAAACGAACCCGATGGCGCAATTCCCACGCTGAAAAGGCCCCCCTCAACCGCAAAACGTTGATCCAGCGCCGTGAGGCCCACAACCGTTTGTCCACCTTCTCCTGTTAATCCCGCGGCCGCCGCCTCTCCAAACACATCCCACACATACAATGACCCATCCTCACTAACCGTCGCCAACAGCTTCCCATCCGCCGACCACGCGCCCGCAGTACAACTCTCCGTGTGCGCAAAATAACTCTGCATCAACTGCAGCGGGGCCTTCTTCTGACTCGGATCCACAGTATACACCCACACCGACCCATCATTCGCGCCAAACGCAAACGTATTCGGGGCTTTCGCATACGGACACGCCAGCAACCAGTTAACCTCCTCGACCTCCCTCGCCTCGGTATATTTCTTCCACTTGCTCCCATTCGTCACATACACCTGAACCTTCCCATCGAGCCCGCCCGAAACCAAAAACTTCCCATCCGGCTGCGAAAACGCCAGCGCGTTGATCGAATCCGTGTGTCCCTCCAACTTGAAGATCGGCTCCTGACTCCCCCGCTCCACCCGCTCCGAGGGATTGCTCTGGTAACTCGCCGGCAACACTGGGGTTGGCGCCGGCGTCGCATCGAATATATATCCCACGCCCGGAGCATTATCCGCGTCGCCGTCGGAGCCGCCTGTGGCGATGAGTTCGGGACGTAGAGGGTGTTGCGCGATGCAGAAGATGGAGTCGCCGTGGGCGTCCATGTGGGCGGAAGAATCGTTTTGCAGTTGGATTTCTTGCTCTTGCATTTCTTGATCGGCGTCCGCGTCGGCGTCTTGATCTTCGTCGCCGGAATCCATGGCAGCGTCGCCGTCTATGTCGATGATTTCTTCCGCGGCGTCGGCGGGGTCGAACATTTCGTTTTCGTCTTCGTTGATGCGGTCATCGTCTTGGGGGTGGTGGGAGGAGGACATGGTGAGTTTATTTATGTCTTCGATTTAGAAAGAATATAGAAGAAGAAGAAGAAGAAGAAGAAGAAGAAACAGAATGTGAGGTAGAAGTAAAAGTCAAAAAATAAAATCCCAATACCTATCTCTACTTTAAACTTCTCTCCAGATGATTTTCACAAATCCTTTCGAATTTATTTGGGTATGGTATTTTCTTCCGACTTCGAAAATGCTTGATAATCTTTTTTTTTCTGATCTGGGTTGTGATTTTGCCCCGCGACGCACAGACCATTTCATTGCCCCTCTATTAGATTACTTCGTAGTACGAGTTTTGATATCCCCGATGGAAGCTTATAAATACGTACATACCTACCTCGAGCCTACCTAGGTAGTAAAAGTACTATGTGTGAGGTACCGGTAGCTGAATACTTAGTTATTTTCGAATCTCAGGATTTTAATTTTCACATGGAATAGTGATATGTACCGATAGATAAATAGATTCTCTCGTTTAGCCTGAACACATTGAGTAACAAGTAAGAGGAAAACAGTTCGACAGATTCTCTGTGTACTGGGACCGGGTAAGAGGCATGTATATCTGCAGAGCGGGAGGATAACCGTCGTGATTCTTCGGAAGAGATTATTGTATGAAGGATATAGGTTGTATTTTATGAATATGGGATTTGGAGCTTTAGTTTATATTTCATGCTGATGAATTATCTAGTCTATAATTTATTCTTCTTTTTCCTGACATACTCATCGAGAGATTCTGCATGCTTACCTGGCTTCTGCTTGTGCGGGAATGGGTAAAGGGAGTTGAGAGGAATTATTCGGGGGGACGATGAGTAATATAATTATTTGAGTTGAGAGATATAGATGAAAAGAGAATCATAAGAAAGAGCAGATAAGTATTCTACCTGTGAGCATTCAAAAAAGAGTTAGGGAATAGGAAGAGATAGATGATGAGCCTCAAAATTCTCAATTTGAATCATATCAATACATCATATACTTGGTAGATATTCCAGATATCATATAAATCTCATTGAATAGAATCTCTCTCCTCCCCCGAAGTCATATGCATATCCCTCCACCACATGGCATATTATATCTCAAAAAGACTGTTTGCTTTTCAAACAGACCACTAGTAATTCTCTCTCCTATCCTCAATCCGAATTCCTAATCTCCTCTCACCCCAACAGACACTTTCTCTCCCCTATGCCCAATCCCTTTCCCACCTCTCTTACACCCCCTCCTATTCACTCCTCCACACCATCCCCCTTCTCCTTTCCCTCCCCCTTCCCCTCCCAACGCCTAAATCTCACACTAAATCGCCTCGACGTTCCCTGTTCATCTGCACACGAATCATGTTTTTGACAGCTATCTACTACTTGAAAACCGCCTGTTGAAAGTGCATTTACCGTATTAGTGGAAACAATTACCAAGAGCATGGTGGTGAAGAAGAGTAAAAGGGAATGAATGTGCATAGTGACACGATGTGATGTGATGTGATGACGATGTAAGTTTGTATTTTGTGGTAGTTGGAGTAGAGGCGCGAGAGTGGAAGAGTTTTGATGCGGGTGTGTTGGATGAGTTGGTTGCGCTTTATTTGTGATGGATTTGTTATTTGATATTATGAGTTGTGGGTTTGGGTAGTTTGATAATGGATACTGTGTGGTGATTTGTAGTTCGCTGTCTTGAGATTTGAAGCTTCCAGTATGTAGTTGAAAGGAAGAGAGAGGACGATGATATATTGGAAAAGAAAGGCATATTTATGATTATGAAATTGTGCATAGAGTGACCTGAAAATGACGCGAGGGCTGAATGGAAATAAGCAGTTCTTGAATCATAATCCAACCTGCCGACTTTGATCAGCAGATTTGACTCTATGAATATCAAGTACCCGAATGCCGCAATCATTAGTGGATTCCCAGTTTTGTAATTCCACTTGCTGAGTGTTTAAATTGGAGAGCATCTTCTATACTTCCTTGTGATTCATCATTCAACTCGGTGGGTTTATTTAGAGTAAATCACCCTTGATGTCAATAACTCTTACCTGATATCATTTTGTTAAATAAGAGTGATTTAAAGTCAAACAACTGGGCATAACCACTACTCAATAGTGATTACGAAAATCAATCTCAACTCAGGGTAACTCAACTATCCTGAGTTTGAGGTGGGTTGCCAAAATATCAAGAAAACTTGAATTGTTTGATCATTGCTCGATTAATCGAAGACAGAAGCTTCGCGGTGAAAATTCAGCCGCCATCAACATTGAGTTTCGGTACCCCATTCATACTACCTCAGCTTAAGATGGCTAGTTAACCATAAGCAAAAGTACCAAGCCAAACAGCAACCGTCCCGTATACGTAGGTACCCGATCAAGAGCTAAACCACCGGAGAATTTTTTACGGAAGATTTTCGCCAATGGAGGTCCTGATGGACGACATGCACCAGTACTTTAACAAAGAGGTTGTGACTATGCGTTTCAACAAGGGTCTAGAGAAGACACAGACACAAGTTAAGTTATCAACCATGGTAGATGCGACGCCGTGCCAGATTTTCTTCGGAGAGTGCAAGCCGTGATCTAGAATCGAGCGGCCCTGCGTTCAAAACGTGGACATCTAAAGTCGGCGTCTGGATTTGCAAAGGGGGCTAATGATCTTATCCGTATTTTCTACGGCGGTGTAGTTCCTCCAATGTTGAAGGAAACAAACAAAGACTGAAGAAGAAACCAATAAGTAATGGGGTCCGCACAAGATAAGGTATCAGAGCAGTAAACTGCGCGCTGTAAGGTCAAGCTGGAGTTGGTGGAAGAAAACAAAGTTGAAGCATCAATGCTTAGAACAGCGACAAGAGAAGAATGGATACAACATTCTACCAACAGAGACTCTAGATACTATCATACTCCACTAGTGCAAGTGATGACTTGTCGCTAAGAGGAAAATCATTTGCAAATCGTAGTCTACTATGTAACAAGAGTACGACGCTAATACTTCTCACGAGAAAGACTAATAAAATGGGTTTATACGAAGTCCCAGAACCCGAATCGGTAGATCATCAATTTAAAGGCGAATTTGAGGAAATATCGCACCAAGAGGACAGTCCAATAACAATACCTCATATATTTGAACTTCAGTGAAGCAACCTCCAGTCAGACGTCGATGTTCAAACAAAATCGTACTTCAATAGACGTGATTCCTTGCGGTATACATCCCTTGCTGTACAATGCACAGCATATCGGAAGCCAATCAGCTTCTGAAATCGATAATCTCGGTCAAATTAGAACACGATCTTCTTCATACATCATCCACTTCTCGAATGTCAAATCCAAATAATCCGTTACTCGCAACACTACTCTCATCAATCAATTTTTGAGCAGTTTCTACACCAGCGGTTGGAACTCGATATTCGAATCGCTTTCCCTTGGCAGGCAATCGGCCGTCGGGAAGAGGATATGGGAATGGAAGATACTCAGGCAAGAGACCGAGCTGACGGAGGGCTGTGGCTTGGTCCCAGGCAATATGTTCATGGTATAAACGATCACCACGAACATTCACCACAGAAGTGAATGGGATTCGTGCATATTTGTGAGTTGGCGGGACTCCAGGGAGACTGTCAGAATGTTAATTGAAAGTTCATTACACATTTCGAATGTGACTCACATCCAATCTATCACTCTATCATGTGTAAAACTGAAAACGAATTCATCAATAACTCGATCAACACCAACAGTCCGGCTAACAAGTTCGAGCTTCGTATCTTCCGGATTATTAAAGACGAAGTGATTGGTGTAGAAATCTGTTAGAGGTCCTCTTCCAATTCCACCAGTCATCTAGGGAAAGAGTATTAGTATAAAGAGAAAGCAGCCACCAGATCACGTACTGTTGGAATATGATTTACATATGGTTGATCAACCATAGTACCCATTGTTTTCCCAACATTCCGTTCACCAAATTCATAAAGTGTATGCTCATCCCAAATGGCTTCAAGATCAAAGATAGGTCCACCTAGGTGTTTCTTGATGAAACCAAGACTTCTTGTATGTGCCACTCCCGCGTTCCCTGGATCATAGTGATTATGACTAGGGAGGATAAAGTTTGTCGACTTTGTTGTGGCATATACATGAGAGATATCTTCGGATCTCATTTGAGGACCTTGTAAGGCCGAGGAGCTGTGAACCATCAATGGAGGTATAGATTTATGCGTAACTTTTTCAGTCAGTTTTCTGGTATCATTAGTGAAGAAGATTGCGACGGAGAATACTCCTCCGAGTAACAAATTCAAGACAGAATCAGTGTGTATATTTTCATCCAAGTTTTCAGCATAGACTAAATGAGAAAACATATTGTCAGCTACACAACATACATGATCTGTGCATTGTAATGGACACAAACCAAATCAACATAGAAACATACTAATGAGTCCCAATTTATTAGAATCAGTACATTCTGGTGAAGACTTTAAAGCTTTTATACCCGACTCCAGGTAAGCTTGGAAATCAATATCACCAGCTTTCATTGCATGCTCGGGAATTGTAACATTCACAACAACAAAACTTTCTTCTGCCCATTTTTGGATTGGCTCTGGATCAAGTGTTTTTCGATCCGTTCGTGAAGTGTAACTCTCAGGTGTTAGGATTAATAATCCTGGACCTCTACCTCTTCTCGATAGAGGTTTTAGAATAGTCAATCGATCACCCAGATGACGAGGTTGTGAAAGCAAGTCTTTTTCAATGGTATTCATTTTGTCACCGTGGTGTTAAATGATTGAATTTGGGAATAGTAATATACTTGAAGACTGTTTGGGTTGGTGTTGATTCCTGGGAGCGGATGAAGCATGGGGAGGAGAGCATGAGAAATACTACCTTAGGTAGCTCGAGAATGGAATGGGTAACCTCAGCACGTGCCCTAGGTAATCTTATCTTACGGAGAACTGTTCATGGCAACATGCTGTCAACGGGGACCTCGCAGTGCCAATATCGCAATCATAATCAGATCTCACGTGATGTTCTTGGTAGCATTTGCTGGCGTTTTTATTGCTGGGTTGTATCACTCTTCATTGTCAACTTTGTCAACTTCTGAAACTCACGCGGTGTACTCGTAGTCTATGAACACTACCTACCACCGGGATACACTGTACATTGTGCTCGTCCATAATAGATACTACTCTCTTCCTATAATTGTAAGATCTTATCTATTTATCTACCACTTGACATGGAATGCTCGAGATTCAATATATTATTTTATTCGCCCAGCCAGACGTGCTCAGACTTTTTTCTCTTCATTCTGTCTTTTGTGATCTCCTATGACGTCATTTGGCGTTGACCCCCGCCATAGCTAACAATGCAGGTGGACAATGTTCTGCGGTGCCGGTATGTAAGACTTGTTACCGACTGGGTAGTCTCTCTTCAAAACAAAATAAACAATACTGGCGCCAGTACTTAAGTTACTAGTAACCTTTTTTCTTTCTCAAAATCAGGAGATTATAGGGGAAAAGCATAAATAAATATACCTCCCTATCTAGGTAACGACTTGATCCCTTCAATGAAACCCTACATTCATCATCTTTCAAGGGTTCCGGAACTTCAACTCTTTTCACGGTCATGTTAATGTTCATGACTCTTCATTTAGAATTCAACAACCTTGGCAACAGAACATGCGATTGATCGCTCTGGTCAACATCAAGATCAACATCAATTACGAAGAATATCACTGCCTTCGCACAGAAATTCAGAATGGACGACAGAGACAAGGACAAGGACAAGGACACAGTCAATCCAAAGAGGCGGCGGGGTCTTGGTATTGTGACACCAAATGCTTGCACAGAATGTAGAAAGAAGCGTGCAAAGGTATCTATTTACAGTATTGATCTCTATCAATTCAAGCTTGGCTGCCTTCACTCAAGTTCGTTCTCAAATGGTGTCTTTTGTCAATGCTAACATTTTTATTCTATAGTGTGATGGCGAAACTCCTTGCGCAAGATGTGCATCTCAAAAGAACGTCGAATGTGTTTACGAAGTTCCCGTACGTCAATCAAAAGAGAATATGAGATCCGAAATCGAACACTTAAAGGCTTATCAACAACAAAGTGAACGTGTGCTTGCTGCTATCGCTTCACAAGATCAAACCGCGCAAGTAATCGATCGACTTCGACAAGGGGAAGGATTGAAAAGCATCGCGGACAACTTAAAAGCTCCATCGCAGATTTCATCGGCTGAAGGAGGAAATATCACGACATATACAAGTTTTACCGATCATCAAGCAATCGGAAATGCACTCAGGCCGGTTAGAGGAATCATAACAGCCCCATTCACATCATGGGGAAAAAGTGGTTTACAAGGACCAACTGCCGAATTTCAACATGGGGAAGTGCAAGGAGTGTGGAATCAATGGCCTGATACTCACAACATATCATCCGGTATGGTAGCTAGTGATGATTTGATGAATTGGCAAACAGAACCTGCTAATTTGCCTGAGAATCATGAGCATCCGGCAATTGGGGGTACCTGGCCAGAGGAAGCATCCAATCATTCTACTCCGAATAGTACAGTACTATATGCTAGAGGTCAAGGTCAAGAAACGATTCTCGGTCAAGGAATTGGTTCGTTACGGGAAGATAGTCCAACCGTTCCACCCGCATCATGGACCAAAGTTACATCGGATTCTGAATTTGTAGACCATCTTATGGCGCTTTATTTTTGTTGGGAATATCCCACATTTGCTTCGTTGAGCAAGGAGCACTTTCTTCATGATTATAAAACTGGAAAAACTGAGCATTGTAGTGAGCTACTAGTGAATTCGATATTGGCTTTAGGATGTCGATTCTCTGCTAATGTAAATGCAAGAACTGATCCTCACGATAGTGGTACTGCTGGTGGACATTTTTTCGCCGAAGCTACTCGTTTGCTTAAATTGGAAAAAGACCAACATTCTTTGACAACAATTCAAGCATTGGGTCTGATGGCAATTAGAGAGGCCAGTGGAGGTCGCTCCAGTGCAAGCATTTATCTTTCAGGGCAATCGCTTCGATTGGCAATTGAGATGGGTCTTCATCTTGAAGCAGAGGGGCAATTACCTAGTGAACCAGTAGAGGGATCACAAGCCGTACGACTAGCCACGTTTTGGGGAGCCTTCTCTTTAGACCAGTAAGTTTGGATTCCATTCTCTATCAATTGAATTTAGGCATGGATTTATCCATGAGTGTTCTGATGAGTAAGTACTAACACAATATAGAGCCTGGTCATTGACTATTGGGAGAGTACCTCAGTTCTCACATATTACCAAGTTAAATGTAAAACCAGCAATTGTAAATACAATTGAAGCATCTGCTTGGATTCCATATACAGATGATGGTAAATTCCATATAATCACACCAACTTTGGGATGTTCTTGCTGACACATCTAGGAGCACCACTTGAACGTAATTGTACTCAACCATCGAATATCAGAAGTGTATACGCAACTTTTTGTGAGCTTTCTGAACTAGTTCACCAATCTTTGTATCTTTTCTATGCCCCTGGCTCCAATATCAATAGCAATTCGTTGCTCAAATTATATACCAAGTTTCTCCGATGGTATGACTCGATTCCTGCCGCTCTACGTTTAGGACACAACTTCACACCATCTGTATTATTCTCACAGTAAGTCTCAGGGTAGGCCGTGCGTAACATGAGTCAAGTGCTAATGAGGTGTTCCTAGTATGTACTATCACTATGCCATCTTACTTTTGTTCCGCCCCTTCATCAAACTTTCTCTAATCGGATCGGGAGTTTCACCTCGTGACGTTTGTAACCAAGCTGCGGATGCAATTTCTGCCCTCACCAGCTCCTACGCTCAACTTTACACGCTGAGGCGTACTCCCTCTTTTGTACCTCACTTTATCCTCGCCTCAAGTATTACTCACCTCGTAACACTTGGTAATGCAAAGACCGGTGTGGAGAAAGTCACTCAAGGAATTGCAGATCTCAGAGAGATGGCTAGCTGTCATGGATTTGCTGCTCGCGCCTGCAATATCCTTCGTCATCTGGCTAAAAAGTGGAATATTGAAGTCCCTGATGATAGCCAAGAACCAATAGAACCTGATGCTTTCGATGCACAAGCTCGTCCTTCTCCCAACTCTCTCAATCAATTTTGTACACAAGTTGATGAGGCGGATATGATGCGCGGTATTGGTTTGGCAGGGGAAGATGAAAATCCTCTCTTTTGGCCTTTCCCTATGCAGGGAAGACCATTAATGCAATATGCTGGAGGTAATTTGGGGAAGCTGGGATTCGAGAGGTTAAAAAAATGAGTGGAAATCTAGAATTGTGGTGATGATTTTGTGAGAGAAACTAGATCAGGCTGGGCTAGGCTAGGCTAGACAGATACTTCGTTCTGTATCAAGAAGGCCGATGGGATATGGAGTATCGATGGAAGAGGAATTGGAGAAACGAGTCAGATATGTTTCATGGGTACAGTGAGTACGGTTGGTGGGAATGGATAGCGGGCTGGCATGAGAATATGATACCTCGGAGGCGTTTTGTCTTTCTCGCGAAATTAACAAATGACGGATGGATTGGAGAGGGCTTAAATTTATCACGTATGGGAAATGAAATGGGATGGAATGAAATGGAATGGCATTTACAGAACTCGGTAATCAAATCATTTATACTGCAAGGGATAGTATGTCTATTTACTAAATCAACTTCATACATACATACATCCGGCTTATGGCTTTCTCTCTCTCTCTCTCTCTCTCTCTCTCTCTCATCTTAATTCATAGAGTAGAATTGATTTGATCCGTAAGGATTTTATAACTCTACGTATCCATGGTTTTCTTGTAAAGAATTTATTGAGAAGTTTCATACGTTATATGAGTAGAGTAGAGTAGTATTATATTATTAAATAAATATTCTATTATAGAGTAAATAAAAAGATTGAATGAATTAATTAAATATATATTCTTTCTTTCTTTTTATTTTTATTTCTCTTTTTTTCTATATATATATCTAGATAGGCTCGATAGATAAGATTATAAATACATCAATCTAATAAATGAATAAATCGATTGAATGATTCGCATATACATATACATATACTGTATATCTCATCCTGAATTATTTTAACTATCTAGCTGGAGGTAAGATTATCTATTGGGTTTTTATTTACTATCGAGTTATGTATAGTATATACATATACACGACATTACCTGCACGAATAAATCATCACGATAGAAATAAAAATAAAAATAAAAATAAAAATAAAAATAAAAATAAAAATAAAAATAAAAATAAAAATAAAAATAAAAATAAAAATAAAAATAAAAATAAAAATAAAAATAAAAATAAAAATAAAAATAAAAATAAATCACTCAACACCATCACCATCACCATCACCACAACATCCATCCATCACATAAATCCCCGTCCAAATCGAAAAGAATTCCTATTCATTAAACACATACACATATGCAACTGCAAGTATCTACCTAGTATGCACCTATGCACAGCACAGTACAGTAAACCTCATCTCATCTCATCTCATTTCATCTCCGCACCCCAATCACATCACATCATACTCAACATTGCATCTACCACTACCCATCTCCCTCCCCCCTCCAACAAAAATAAGCTTCAACACATAAACAAGAGAATCCATACCACCAGTGCTCTCCTCTATCCAGAGCATATATCGAATCGAAATTGAATTGAATCTGTCTGGATCCAGATCAAAAAGCACAAAATGACTTTTTTCCGGAGATGACTA